TGTTAAACTGTACACATTTGTAGTGGTCAAAACCCAAATGTGGGCCACTTTGCATACAAATGATACTTTTTCTTTAAAAGAGGAATGTCTGAAGAACAAACAATGTTGAAACTTGAAATGTATCTTGTTTCCCTCTATAAAAACAATTGCACCTAACTTTTCTGTCTGAGTACCAAAAATGTTATTTTTCCTGTGTGCTTGTAACACAAGTAGTATTAAAGATTCTGGTTCTTAAGAAACTTTTTAAGGCCATATATGGTTCAAACCTAAATGCGGATCTCAGTGTGGCACCATGCAAATAGTTGAGTTCATTTTCAATGGTCGAAAAAAATGAACGTAGGACACTTTGCATACAAGCTGATGCGTATTTAACAAGGAATATCTGAAGAACAAATAATGTTGAAACTACACTGTAAAAATGACCGTGAATTTAACGGTAAAATACTGTAAAAATGCTACAGTAAAAGCCTGTTAAATGGTTAACGGTAAATTCCCCTACTATACAGTATATGGTGAAAAACTGTATTGGACATTATATGTAATTTTACGGTAGCATACCGTTTTTGGAAGTGAAAAAGACCGTATAATTTACAGTGAATAACCATAAATTGACATTCCCAGAATTCCCTGCGCTACATTTCATATTTGATGTTTTTTTGTTGAAATAACTGTTTCTTCTTAGTTTTTTCTTATCAGTTTTGTATATTAGGGTTGTGTGTTACACCTAATGTTGTTAAATTAATGTTTATTGCATTATTTCAGTTTCATGTGTGTTACCGTGATGGTGTTTAGTGTTTGTGTGAATGACACTGTGCACCTTCTAAACATGTTATTATTTAAAAGCTGCTTGTGATGGGCTTTGGTTCATCATGTGACTTTCTCATCACCACCTGCATTTGGTGGTTCTCAGTATATTACAAAGCTACAAAACAGATTTCAGTACTTCAACAGGTTGGTATATTAACATTATATCAGTTAATAAAATTATGGTATTTAACTGTAAATTTAAGTTAAAACCGTAAAACTTAAAACGTTGCTACCGTATATTTTATGGTAAAATTCCGGCAATCACAGATGCCGTTTCTTTACCGTAATTTTGACGGAATATTTTTTACGGTGTAGAAATGTACCTGAATTTATTCACAAAAGCAATAATATCAGTCTGTAGATTGTTATTAACAAGGAAACGGCCATTTAGCTGGTGCAGTCTTTTTTAGTTAAATTGTAAATTCTTCACGTATTCCACAATTATTCATCTGTGGCAAATGCTGAAATAAATCGCAAACATGAGTAACTCATATCGCAATATGATATTTATTGTTGGGCAAAATCTTTAAAGCTGCAGTCCGTAACTTTTTGTGTTCAAAATGTACAAAATTTATATAAAATATAAAAAAGGTACGGACTGCAGCTTTAAGTAATAGAGATGGTGAAACCTCTTTAAACATCTGTATTATGGTCAACATGGCAGTTTCATGTTCTAAGTCGACAGAAGTCAGTCTAAATGATGACCATGTTGTTGCAGAGATCAGACTGGCAGCATTTAACTTTCACGGCAGTGTTACTCGAGAGAATAAGACACTCCGTCATACTGCTGCATCTCCGAAAGCCCATGACTAGAAGAAACAGAGAAATCAAAGCATATTTGATGTTTATGCACATCATGATTTTATCTAATCACATGCATTTATCTGCTTATAATGCAAAGAATCACATTACAGCTTCAGTTTGGTTGCATCCCTGTCAGTGTTATTTTAGTATCACTGAGATACTATTATAGTTTTTATTAATAGTTTGAATTAGTTTTTATTTGTATATTTTAATTTTTGTGGTACATTGGAAATTAAATGTGAAAAGTTGAAGTTGATAGTATTTTAGAACATTTTATAATAATAATATAATGCATTTATATCTGTCTACAGTGTGAAGCTGACTGGAAGGTTAAACTCACAGGGAGGGAAGTTGAATCTGGCTGCTATACAGGCATCTTTTCCAAAGTCACAGGTCTCTTGAGTTTGTGTGCAGCGCGTTCCTCCCTGAGGAACACAGTGGTTGCATTTCAGTGCAGATCCTGCAACACAAAGTGCATGCGTTATCACCAAATCAGCACTGAACTTTTATTATAGAGGCTTGAGCATGAGTTTATTAATAGTTTGCACAATCAGAGTCATACATACTGTATATTAAATAAAAGAAAAAAAAATGTTGCCAAGAAAACATTTCTCAATTTTCATTTACTAAACTAAAACTGAAATAAAAATGTATAAAAACTAAATAGACATATTTAATAATAATAATAATAATAATAATAATAAACTAATACAAAAAAAAACACATTTACTAAAACTTTAAATAAAATGAAAATGTAAAAATATATAATTATATTAAAATAACTATAATAGTCTCTCAATTGAATTATGTGCATGTTTAACCTTTTAATTAGCATCTTTTAACTCACCGTAGTTCAACACCAGAACAAGAACAAGGGCCACCACCAGCAAAGTCTTCATTATTCTGTCGATTAGAGCTGAAAATATTAATAATAATAAAAAAATCACCAATAAGAGTGCGAAAAGACCAAAAAAATGAATGCAATTCAGAAACAAACTAATCTATCAACATCTGTGCATGTTGTTTTAATAACTTACCTCCCAACTGATGTAGTATTGGGTGTATTGTAAGCACTTTCATAATAAGCACTTGTGTGTGTCTCTTATATACTTGTCTTGTACTCAGGAGTGAATAATTTCCGAGAAAACAGGAATTCCCACAGTGTTTGAAACCGGATCATTGTGTTAAAATGAGGCCACAGACACTCAATAACATTTGCCAACTGTGTTTGGTCATGGTTTACTCAGGCAATCGCTTCAGATCATCAGTACTGATCGTGCCATGTGCTTGTGCAAGATCCTGTTCTGTCCTGTTCTACTACAATAAACCACTTATTTTTAATATGGTGTGAGAAAATATTAAAGAAATAATTATCTGTGTTTGGGTATCAAACTAAACTATTATGGTTGTGTTTTCCTCTTTCTCAACAATGCGTTTACATGCATACTCACCCTATTAAAATGGGTCGTAACACTTATATTCTTTAATATTTCTAATTTGGAACTTTATATAGTATATATATATATATATATATATATATATATATATATATATACTGTATATAAATCTTTTTTACCTGTGTCTATCAGACTTTGTAATTCCTCAGTATAATAACGTATTTTATTGTGCAATATTATATTTTTACTTGTATATTTATTTAAATCTTAGTAGTTTTATTTTATTTCTTGTATATAGATTTCTATTTGTATTTTTATCTTGGTGTTTTGGAGCTGCGATAATGAACCTAATATCTCTCCGGGGATTAATAAACTATTTCTGATCCTGATATATATATACTCTATATACTGTATATATATATATAAGTAAAACCTAAAAAACGTCAAATTGTTTCAACTTTTTTATATATATTAATAAAAGCTATATGGATATTTAAAAAAACACAGTAACTAATAAATATGACAGAAACAATAAAATGACTAAAACTTTAAGATTAAAATTAAAAATTGAAAATATAAAACGAATCCAAAATATTGAGAATTGAGAATTCTGAGAAGATGATGGACAGTTTACCGTCACTGTTGGTGGGAGCTGCTGTTGGTTAACAAATGACAAATGACAAATGTTTTCTTTGATATGAGGATTGGCAGGAAAGTTCAATATTGTGTAAAACAAAGCTGAGGAACACAAGAGCCCGAGGGGACAGGTGATAAAGAGAGATATTATTATATGTCTTTTGGTGACGAACAGCAGAGGATATAGTTTATTGGATATTAAGCACTTTTGCTGGTTGTTTGGAGTCTGAATCTGTTCAACAAGTGTTTACTGCATTTGAAATGTTTCAGTGAGTGTGAGTTGATTTCGAGTCCAAGGTTCATGTGTGCACAAGGCTTTAATGTCTGTTTAATTTAACTCTGCTCATGGCTTATTTAACTGGCCAATAAGATTGAATGAAAGATGACAGTCTTTTGATCTAGCAGTGATTAATTATGTAATGTAAAAACATGTGAAGCAACGCTCATCAGATCTATATGGCAGACAAACAGCAGTTGTGGTTCACCATATTTTATTTGCTGGTTATTAAGATTTTTCTATAAACAGTGTCAATTGAATTTTCTTAGTATTCTTGTCTTGTTTACATTTCAAACTTCTAAAAATGCATAACTCAAGATACATTTACTTGAAAAGGAAAATGAAACATTAAGTCTTTTTTTCTGAGAGTAAAAAAAATCGACATTTTATGCTTTTTCTTGTTTTAAGCATAAACTTTTAGTATCTTAAGTTGTTACTTCTCGAGTAAATGTATATTGATTTAAGAATTTTTAGATCGGAGAAGACAGTAGAAGAAAATAGTTTTTGCAGTGTGATCACATATCACATTCATGAGTCAGAACAGCAGCAAACATCTGATTTTGACATCATGGAAAATGATAACTTTTACAACACCTCACCTTTGAAATCTGTGTTTCAAAAATATTTACATTTGACAGCAGTTGTATGTATATTATTTATTATTTCACATAATGTTTATTAACTTTTTTATATAAAATATTATTTTATATAAATTCATACCATATTATTATATTTATGTTGCTATTTTATTTATTTGAGATACATTGCACAGTACTCTTCAGTTTATGTTGTTTCATTGTTTTACTTTTTTTTATAATCTAAAACTTTGTAACCCCACTGTATTTTCTTCTTATTATGCAAATGATATGCACTAATAAAATTGCGATATATTTCAGCTTGTGATGTAGATAGACTTCTATTGCATTTTATTGGTAATTTTGTATATATTTTTTTAAATTACTGTAAAGTGAGAATGTATTTGTATGATATTTGTATGTAAGCAAGTAAATCACATAATCAACAAAAATGCTAGCATGCTTAGTTTATTTTAATATTAATGACCACCTTGACAAAAGACTGTTTTTGTAACATTGCACATAACAAGAAGAATTTAATGTGTAAATATTGTCATAAATTCCACTAAAAAACACGCATAAACATGCGTAACCTGGTTCATGTGTACACTGTAAAAAATGATTGTGATTTTAACAGTAAAAGACTGTAAAAATGCTACAGTAAAAACCTGTTAACTGGTTAACAGTAAGTTTCCATACTATATACGGTGAATACATATAATTACATTTGATGTAATTTTACAGTAAAATACTGTTAAAAATACGGTTTTTGGAAGTGAAAAAGAAAAATTAATTGTATAATTTACAGTGAAAAAATGTAAATTGACACTCCCAGAATTCCCTGCATGACACTTCATATTTGATGTTTTTTTTGTTGAAATAACATGTTTCTTCTTTTTGTTGTGTTTCTTATCAGTTGTGTACACTAGGGTTTAATCTTACATCTAATGTTGTTAAATGAATGTTTATTGCATTATTTCAGTATCATGTGTGTCACCATGATGGGGTTTAGTGTTTGTGTGAATGACACTGTGCACCTTCTATATATAAGTATTGCCCTCCTCAGCTCGTAGAAAAGCTGTTTGTGATGAGCTTTGGTTCATCATGTGACTTTGTCATCACCACCAGTTTTTGGTGGTTATCAGTGCATTACAATGGTTCAAATCAGATATTAACACTTCAATATGTTGGTTTATTAACATTACATCAGTTAATGAAATACAGT